GAAAGAAAGAAAGAAAGAAAGAAAGAAAGAAAGAAAGAAAGAAAGAAAGAAAGAAAGAAAGAAAGAAAGAAAGAAAGAAAGAAAGAAAGGTAGAAAAAGACATGATGCCTACCTGCAATCCCTACACTCCTGCAGTGGTTTGGGAGGTGGAGACTGGAAAATTCTCCAGCCTGTCTGGAGCACTTAACACAGCGGCAAACTAAAGGGGGTACCCTTCCTCAGACATGGTGGAAGGCGAATAATGACCGGACATTGTCTCTTGACTTCTTCGCGTGCGTGTGGGAGAGTGTCCAGAAGTGCAGTTGTCTGAGGAGGCCAGAGGAGGGCTTCGGATCCCTTGGATTTCCAAGCAGGTTTGAGCTGCCCGGCATGGTTGCTGGGAACCCAGTTTGAGTCCTCTGCAAAACCAGTGCTGCCTCCGGAAAATTGCCCTGAAGCCAAACTTAAAACAAGGGAGTCATAAAGGAAAAGATTGACAAACGTCATTACATTTTGAAAAGTTCTATATTTTGTCAAGGCGCCGTAACCAGTATGAACAGGCAAAAGATATATATTAGAACTCCATAAAGATGCTTATAATCAGATGGAGGAGTAAGCTGTACATCACAGACGAAATTGTGGATGAACTTGACTATTAACGTGTAAACATATGCAGCTCTTTAAAGGATTAAGTAGGTTCTGTATGCATTGATTTTTATAGCACAATTAATAAAGAAAAATCATATATAGAAAAGCTGCATTCCACATGCTCTGGTGTCAGTTTCTGGAAACAAACTGAAGCACAGTCATCTAATCAGGTCAGCAATTTGGGCGGGGCTCCAGGGGCAGTTCTTACAGCATGGGCGGGGCTCCGGGGGCAGTTCTTACAGCGTGGACGGGGCTCCAGGGGCCAGTTCTTACAGCATGGGCGGGGCTCCAGGGGCAGTTCTTACAGCGTGGGCGGGGCTCCAGGGGGCAGTTCTTACAGCGTGGGCGGGGCTCCAGGGGGCAGTTCTTACAGCGTGGGCGGGGCT